CAGCCTCACAGGATGCAAGCATGGCTTTGGAATGCTAATCATCAATTACCGTGTCTCCTTAGGGGAGTCAGGCAGAACAAGAGAGTTAGAAGTCATGTGGCTGAGGTGAGATGTAGAGTGTTAAATGCTTGTATGACTGTAACAAGGCTAATTTCTTTTTTAAAATGGAGCTGCTAGCCAAACAACTTGGAGTGCTGCATTTCAGCTTGAGGATCCTGGTATAAATCTGAGTAGGCTGCTAGTCCCAGGTCTTCTCTTCGAGATGGAAACCTCATCTTGATGCAGTGATTATTTCTGTTGTGAAAGCAATGACCAGAAATGCTGCAGACTGAGCCAGCTAATCTAAAACAAATCAACCAGCAAGACAGGTGTCAAAGCATAAAAAATATCAACACTGCCTGAATATTTAATAAAGCTAAGTCCTGAAAAAAATATTTGTTATAGGGCCATTAATAAGGTGTACAGAGACATAAAAAGTCCAAAAGACAGCAGTGTCATTTTATGAGAGAAGTAAATTCTGACAGCTTCTTTATGATTGGGTCCTAGGTAAAGACAGTAAAAGTATTCCAGCCATTTGAAAGATTTGTTTGTTTGGCATATGGGGAGTAAAGGTGAAGAAATGCTATCCATAACACAGGACTATCTAATCCCAGACTTAAAATGGAGTGCTTTTGATCTGGTTTAATGCTGCTGTTCCTGCTATAGAGTGACTTACGTGTGAATCAATGTGAGAGCAATGTATAAAGTTTGGAGCAAATTTTTGTAAAGAGCATCAAAAGTAATTTTGAGAATTGAAAGAGAAGTTTGTGTGAGGAAAGTGTAAAGTAAGCACATATGCATGCATGGCAGGACTAGATAAATTACATGATTACAAAACAATTTGCAAAATAGAATTTCTGCAGAGAAACTGAAATTATTAAAATAGTGCCATCAGAGATAACTAGTAGTAAAAAAAGAAGGTTAAAAAAGAAATGTGAGGATTACCTATGATGTCTTTAATTGAGGAATACCACTGAAAAATTGTTATGGCTCTATACATTAATAGAATTCTAAGTGAATTTGTTATATCAGCAAAAAATACAAAAAAGAGGTCAGATACGCCTTGATAATGTTCTGTCAGTAATCTCTTTTCTCATAGGGGTATAGTTCCATGCATAAATTATATCTTTGCTGCGTAATTATATTTATACTGTAGAGGTATTGCCTTGCATATATCGACATTTTCAAATATACTGTTGCTGTCAAATCCATGTGTCTTTCTAGTGAAAATTTTCATTGCTTATTTTAAAAATTATTCTTTCCAAATCCATTTGGCTTGTTTTCTATTTTGTTTTTCTCCTTCTTTCTAAGAAAATAAAATGAGACACCTAATTTTCTCATTATGCAATCAAGTATTAATTCTCTAGTGGCAATATTCTTGATTTTTAATAACTCTTCTACAAATTGTCTGTATTTTTGACTTTCATTTTCCAATGAGAAAGGAATAAAATTTATACATACCTGTTATAAATGAGTAGCCAAATTGATTAACAAAAAAAGAATTTATTAAAACAATACAATTGCGAAAAGCAACCATAAGCAAAAATCAGTTCAGCACTGTGCTGGGCAAACAGCCCCAGTTGAGACAGGGAGGGGCTTTCTAGCACTGCTTTACCATGCTTCACAAACTGCAACAGTCCCAAGGTGCTTTTTATGTTTTCAGGTTTTTTGGGGGTCTCTTGGAATGCACTTCTTGCAGACAAATATTCATGCTATTTTGGGTGTATATGTTGAAATCTGGTTGTGTTTCTTGGAAATACACTTGTGCATACGAATATTCATGAGTTATAATCTTATTGGACAGAGGTTTCTTGGAAATATGCTCCTTGCAGACGCATATGCATGTTGGCCTTGCTGCATATCACTATAATCTCTTCAGAGAAGGTTTCCTGGAAATATGCTAGGATTCTTATCAGACAAGATTAAAACTTTAGCATGAATTTATTTATGCTATGTATTACAATACCGAAATAGTAGATATTCTTAGGACTGAATTTACTGAAAGTGCTATCGTACCCTCAAGATTTAATTTTTTTTTCCATTATATTTTAATATTATTAAAGGAGTAATTATAATCCAATCTTAATAATAGCATTGTAGCAGAAAGTAAGGACTTGCAATGCAGTGGGAAATGAACATAGGAACTGCCTGGAGGAGTTGATCTGGAAGTATGTCATCAAAACAATCTTCAGAGACCTTTTTCTCAATCTCTCGTACTATCTTTTGTGCTCTTGAGCTGAATTCCCAAATAGATGCATCAGCTTCCCTAGTATCACATCATAGGACAGACAGTGGCATTTATTGCCACGCTTGGAAATTCTGCACTGAGCTTTTGCAGTATGTGTCTGATCAGTGCTCAGAAAGTAGAAATAAATACAGATTCACATTCTATTCTATGGCCTCTAATTAACGTTTTTTCTTACCATAGAACATAAATTCTACATTAGTGTGTAGGGAGGCACAGGCTCTTAATACCTGCTTTGAGATTTTAAACTCTCTTATTTAGTGCAGCTTTAAATTTTTCCAAATCACTGGAATCACTTTACATCCTTGTTCTCCTTGTATAAAGTTTGTGTGTGTAAATGTCAAAGCATATGCATAATGCAAACTATGGCAATGCTTTGTTATGAGAAGTAGTGCTATGATTATCTCTTTGTCCCAGCCTCTCATGTTTGGGAATTTGTAGTTCAAGGTAACAAGTTCTGTTTGCCCTTGGAGATTGACTGACTGTACTAGTGTAATGTTAGAAGGGATCTCAAGAAGAATAAATCCCCTGTTTAGGGGGGAAACGTTTAAATCATAACAATCTTTCAGGTCTTGAAACAATCAACAAAATGGTCTGTTCCCATTTTATATTTTATTTAGAGCATAAAGAAACAACCTGAACTTTAAAACAGAGGTATAGCTACATAAGGGATATAAATAAACCATAACATTCGGTAGATAACTGCCTACGTCTGAAGCCTGCCACAGACCATACATTTCTGTTGTCATGAATGACTCTAATTATACCCATTACCTCATGGAGTAAGAGCAGTAAACTACTTGAAATTAAGATTTGATTCAGTTTGTAAACTTCTTTAAACAAATATAACCAGACAGCAGTGATAAAAGTAACAGCCAACTAAATTAAGCCAGAAATGTTATGTTTGTGAAAAAAGGATAAGAGTAAAATCAAATGTTGGACAAATAGTCAGCAACCAAGCTGTTCATACTTCCAGGCTTTGGGGTAGTCTGCTGGTAGTGAGTGGTCTTCTGTTCCAGCTTTTATTTGGTCCCACTTTTCTTGCATGAACACTTCTGACAGTATTCAGAACCCATTCTGGAAAACTATCCAGCTTTTATCCATAGACCTAACTTCATTTTATTTCTGAAGCCTTCTGTGATAGAGTCTAGTTTGGCTGAGAAGTTAAATTCTGGAATTTTTTTTTCATGTTTTATGAATAGAAAATAATTTAAGTTTTAATGTGTTAAGTACTAAACTAGTGGAAAACTGGTGTCCAACTGACATAAATGAAAGGGCCAGGAGACCTTCTGCTCCTATTAATAAGCCTTTATTAGAACTGGGACCAGAGGTGGGGGGCTCGGGCTGCGCGCCACCGCCGCTGCTCCCCGTGGTCAACGTCGAGGAGGAGGATCACGCAGGCCTGTCGTCACCCACTGTCGGCAGGACTGGAGCTTCTGTCCTCGCTGGGATCGCCCGGAGGCTCTGTCTCAGGCTAGAACGTCTGGGGATGTCTTCCCTCTCAAGTCCTGCCCAGGTTATGGTGACCAGCTTGCGGGACTGAGATTGGTGCACCCAGTCTCCCCAGGTCCCCGCTGCCTCCACAGTGTGGTCCTCCAGATGTTTCTCGAGGGTTTGTCCAGAGCTGTCTCCACTCCCAGGTGGTAATATGACTTTAATATGCACCCGTGTGCAAGTCTTTATGGGAATGCGGAAGTTCATCCTGGGCAGCAGCGGCCAAACCACCCGACGGGTTGGGAGGGAGTAAGGAATTGGGGTACAAATGTAAAGATAAAACAAGAACTTCTTGACAATGAACTCTTTTGGGACTTACAGCACCAAAACCCCTTAACAAGAATATATAATTTGAACATCAGGATTTTTATTTATAACACAACTAAAACCTCTAGTTCCTGGTATTGTTTTTATTTGTTGTGTTTTATTGTGAGCACAAAGTTATGGTGTCCTTTTCTTGCTGTGTATTAAGTTGCTTGAGGTGTTGTACTTCACTCAGGTGAGTATGAGTGAGGAACAAAGATTGTGCTGGTCCCAATGTACCTGTAGTGTTCTCAGTCTAGCCTTAAAATTATACACGAGCTCCGGAAGAGTGGTCTGTTTTCCTAATTGCCACTGTGTGAGGATGGGGAAGTGCTCACAACCTGAACTACAAATAATGCTTTGTGACATTTGTAACTTTCTGGAAGGACCATGGCCCACACAAAGAAAGCTTTGCTCCTCTTGCTCTACTGCTCCACTTAGTGTGAAAAGTTGGAGGTTTTAAGTGGTTTGGTTTGGTTTGGGTTTTTTTTTCCTACAGTTGTAATTTTCTTTAACCAAGCTCTGGTGATTCCTTGTGAGAAGTTAATAGGAGGATGCATTTACTTTTATATATCTGACCTTTTGTTTATCTGATACAGTCAATATTAATCAAGGATTTTAGACTTTGATCCAGGCCTTTTTTCTTTGAACATTTTCTTAACTTTCAGCAATAGTATGATTGTTGTCCATGCATACAAATTATAGTGATATAAGGTATGTATGAAATTGCAACAGCAGAATCAAGACACTTAAAAATGAGCAAGCAGTGTTGGAAATTCAGGCAATTAAAAGTGTTTCTCCATTTGCCCTGTTAAGTGATAATAGTACATACTGTCACTTGAATGCATTGTGTATGTTTTATTGCAGGCTTTTGTGGTTGTGTTCGATATTTGTATATCTTTCTGAATTTTCTTTGTAGATCTTGGCAAACAATCACTTTCGATAAACAACCTGCATCTTTCATCAGAATAGTTGGAACTCGCAACACAGCTAATGAGGTAAGGAACTTCTAAGAAACTGTATGTTCTTTCATGAATGTACAGCAGCACAGTTTTTCATATCTTGCAGTGAAATTGATAAAGCTTTCTCAAATGTACATACTTCATCTTTTTGCTCTGGCATTCTAGCAAAACACTTGAACAGTGTTATTATCTGTTCCTCGTTTTGACATTTCCACACTGCCATCAAATACTCCTATTGGGTTTGGTTTTAAATTAATCCTTATTTTAATGAAAAATTAAAATACCAATTTAGTGCACTAGAGAAAGGTGTATGGTCTCTGATATATTTTAGATTTATCACCTGTATATTATCCTTTTAATTAATAAAACATTAAAAAATCTCATTATTCATAAGAAAATATTATTAATTTTCATACCTACTATATCAATTGACTAATAGTAGCCAAACCAAGAGATTTTTTTCATTTATACAGAAAAAAATATTTTATCCTAGCCCATCAAGTGCAATATCATCCCATCTTTGTTTACTTGTGCTTCTCTATTTTGTAATCATTGTGTATTATCTCAGATGAAGTCCAGATTTTACTCTTGACTTCAATATAACTTTTCATAATATGTGAATTTAAGAGTATATGTATGTCTTTGTGAGATTAGGACCTAATGTGATGACATCATGAGGCACCAAAACCCACTGTTTATGTGTATAGACCTACCTGTCTGTATCCTGCACAGGCAGCTCAACACCAAACATGGTACTTTAATGCTTTACACTGAGCTTGGGGTAGCACTATTACATTTGGATTAATTAGAATTTGATAGCTCCAGAAGTGACGTTTTCTGATAGTATTTAGCATTTGGGGCTGCTGGTTCCTAAGCACTGGGAGCATCATTCAGTGGCATTGTCTGTGCCCAGTTGTAGTGCAACTACAAACAAAACTGGCAAACAAAAGCAGCACCACCATATCAACATCTCAGCCAGCTGCTGGAAAGTAGCTGATCAACCAACAGAACTGTGAATACAAATTTTTATCTTGTGTTTCTGAGCAGTGTCTCCCATCATGTGTACAGCCTTAATCACTGAGCCCTTAGAATTAGTGTCAGAAGCTACCTATGGGGTAGTACATGTGTGAAGAAGGCTTCTTCCACAACTGATCAGTATTGACAGTCTTGTTTCCTCTCGTGCCAGTGTTTGTAAATTCCTATCTCTTTCATAAAAAAGAACGAGGTGCATTGCATAAACTTAGCAAACCAGGAAACATTGCTTTCAATTTTGAATTCTTAAAGGTAGCTTAAAGCCTTGGAGGGCAATGACCTTTTAGCCATAATTCTAATTTCAAATTGGTTACTATTTCCAAGGAATTTAATATCCTGTGTAATTACTTATATAGAGCACTGCACAACTATAGTGAAGATGAGTATGGACAGAGATGAATACAGCTATTCATGTAGTGTCTCAGTTGAATTATAAACACATGCTATTCTCCTTTGTCTTTTCCTCTTTTGTCTGTAAAATCTGCATCCAACACTAATTTGCTTTTTATTTTTTTAATTATTTCTTCTAACACCTGTAGAGGAGGAACATCTTTGGTGTGCACGTATTACTAAATTACTTTTATATTATATAAATTAATTTTATATTATATAAATTAAACAGAGGGTCTGTGACATCTTGTCATAGATTTTAATTTTCCGAAGAAAGCAGCAAGATATTTTTCATATTTGCAATTTAAATAGTAACAGTGTAACCAAAGTCTTGGTTTGTTCTATAGTCTTGATAGTCTCTTCAGCAAGAATACAAGCAGTATCCAGAATTACTTGCCCACAGCTGGTTGTACAGTATGTCAAACCATTTTCATTTTAAATAAAATATACAGAATATTCAGCAGCATATTCTTATCAAGGAGTGTTACTGTAATAGGTGCAAAATACTCCTTACTTGTTCTACCAACACATACCTTTGAACTTTGAAACACAATCTGTGCATCCCAAAGGGAGGAGTTATTTTTGGAATTTAAAAGAAAAGCCATCAAATGTCTCCATTTTGTGAATTTTCTAATCTTTAAACTCATCTTTTCCTAACCATATTTTCCAAGTTTTGAAAGACATGATGTTCACAAATTTTTTTACCTGGAGTTGGAATAGTTTTTGGTATATTAGAACATGATGGAAGTATCACTTTCTGTTTTCTTGAGCTTACAGACATCCTAATTTTGTAGAGAAAATAATTATTTTTCCTTGTCATCATTCATTTGTCAGACAGGTCACCAGACACTTTATGTAAGTTTTCTCTTGTTACTCTTCTCCAGTATTACTGACCTGGAAAGGACACCTTGTTGCTGATGTGAGAGCTTTATCTTACAAATTACTGGGCCAGTGTATTTGTACTTGGCCCTCCTACTTTGTGTGTCCAACCTCTCTTAAAATATCTGTGAGAATTAGAACATGATGTGGCTCACAGGATGATCCTGATTTGTCATCTTTTTCTTTTGAGAGAAGCACATGAAAGATTGTATGTTTTAGTGATACTGTGGAAATGCTTAATTCTGATATTGGATGAAGCAGCTGGGCTCAACTTCTCTCGGGCTTAGGCTTCTCTCACACACTGTATTCTTTATATGCTGAGGTGGCAGAGTAATAGAGAATAATGTTCCAAATTCACAGGCTTGTCAATGTGCTACATGTTTTGACCATTAAGAATTTAATATGAAACAATCAGTGAAATTTAAAGTTCCGATTTAAGAATTGTGTACTTCTGACTTTGTAGACTAGTATTAGCTAAATTTCAAGGCTATCCACACTATGCTTAAAAAAGCTGTATCGATATGTAAAGTGAGGTTTTAAATGAGAAACATTATTATGGTGGGATACAGTATAAATACAGAAACTTCTGGATTAGAGACCTCCATCACATTCTGTGCTTCCTTTCAAGGAAAGCAGCATCTTACAGAGGTGCACTATGAGAGAATGTTCATTTCTGCAAGGCATTATCCTGAAAAGTGCAGCTGGAAAAATTGCAATAGCTTCTTATTACAAATAAGGTGTTACTTTAAAAACATGGAAGTGATATGAGTACAAAAGGGACTTCTCTAGAAGTGTAGATAAATACAAAAATTGGCTTCTTCAGAATTGTTGTAGATGGAGAGAATACATGCCAGTATGGGAATTAGTCCAGCTTTAGGGAAAAACAGAAGAAATGCACAGGAAAACCATTCTGTGCATGTGTCTACACGTGGGTGGTGGTGCAGATTTGTAATCTGTTCATATGTGTATATGTAAAGGCATAGCAATACATTTTTATGTGAGCATGTGTATAAATAGAAATAGAAGCACATATTGTAAAGTATTTGCATGGAAAAGTTGCACTGAGGGGCACAAGAAAATACAATATGGATTAAAAAAAACCAAGCACTGACTGAGGATTTTTTTTTATTCATTTTATGTATGCTGTCACAATTTGAATTAGCTAGCAACATCCTCAGAAAAGACCTGGGGCTACTGCAGACATGTCAGTGCAGATGTCTGCTCAATGTTCACTTGAGCAGGGATGGTCAAAAAGAATAATAGGATTTTTAGGTTGTATTGAAGAAAAGATAAAAAACATTGTATTCTGTAGTCTTGTATGAATATGTGTATTATTATTAATAATAATAAATATAGTAATAAATATAATAATATAATAATAATGATAATGATGATGATGATAATGATGATAATAATAATAATAATAATAATAATAATAATAATAATAATAATAGCAGCAATAATGTGTAGTATATCTATGTCTTGTGTATATTTGATTTTGCCAATATTGATTTGAAAGGGTCTGGGAAAGTGCAGTGAAGATTATAAGAGATTACCTTTGTTTGTGAGAAGAGCTTTAAAGACATGACTAATAGAAGATATCATAAAAGTATACGAAGTTAAGACAGTACATTTAAAATTCAGGATTTAATATTCATCAAGCTTTTACTTTTAAACTACAATGCATGGGAAAATAGCTCATTTAAAGCAATGTAAGAAAATATTTATGTTTAGTATGTGGCAATGTTGTGCAATTCATAACGAAATCATTTGGAAAGAGGTTTTGTAACAATTTTAAAGAGTTCCTCCCCCTTCTCCTCCCAGGCTCTTCAAGAACAAGTAGAAGTAAATAAATTAGAAAATAAATGGGAAAAAATGCTTAAGCACACAGTCCTCTTAATCTGTGAGACAATCACCTGTACACTGGTCCCAGGTATTGTTTGAATCCCCAGAAAATTATCACTATTTCAAATGGAATATTTCACCTGATGAAGCAGCAGCCACCTTGGACACTCTGAATGCCTTTCTACATACTCCAGGACATGTCTGGAGAGCTGCCATTGTTATTACAGCAGAGGGCAATCTTAAAATAGAATCATGTTGGTAATGATTTAAATTTCATTTCTAGGGTACATGAACATTCAGCCTCTTCAGGAAGTGATTAGATCATAAAATATGTTTAAGCCAATTAATATAATTGTTGTTATTATCCAATAGCATGTAGTAGGTATTTCTGCTAGCTGGTGAAGAAAAAAAAAAATTAAAAATCCCTATCTGCTTTGAAACCATCTTTCTGATTTTTTGTGCCATATGTAAAGGTTGGTATAATTTAAAAGCCTTCTCTTGCTCCAGTGTTGTCCCTGTCTAATGTTTGTTGCCCATACGTAAATGTTTTTGACCTCATGGTGAAACATTCTCTTTTGACTTTGTTACTGATCTGGCCTGCAGACTTCCATATAGACTTCCATGTAGACTTCATCTTACTTTGATCATGCTTTTGCAAATTGTTTTGCTTTATATTCATTTTTTGTTCTCTCCAGGTGTTTCACTGTGTACATTTTGAGTGCCCAGCACAAAACAGTACCCACAAGGACGAGAGTAGTAAGGAAGTAGCAGCAACAGAGGTGGAGACTGGTGGACAGTAGCTTGTTTCTTTTCCTGTTGGAGGTGCAAGCACCTGGTTCCCTGCATTCCCCTCCTGGATCCACCTCACATCCTGATGTTCATCAACGATAAAGTAGGTTGAAAGGGAGCTTTTGCAGCCCCACTGACATTCTGCAAAATTATTCAGAACCTTCTTGTGCTGGCACCTTTTCTTTCTTTGTGAATGAAGGGGACCATGTCTGAAAGTTTTAAGTACTGAAATGCAAAAGGCTTATTCCCAAGGACATGAAGAGACTGTTTCACTCTTCCTTGATATGTTCAAATCAGGATGGTCTCCAAGGGGGGAGAAAATAGGTCTTCAATCTTCATCAAGTACCCCACTAACACCCTACCTCTAATCTAACCAAGGCAAGGGAAAAAGGAAGGAAATAAAAGGCAGAGCTACAAATCTAAAATTATTCAAGCAGAATGGAAAACATACAAAATAAGTATTTGTTCCCTGGGGGCTTTTATTAGCAAAAAAAAAAAGTTTATGGAACACAACAGTCCAAAATATATTTTATTTTTTAGGTGATTCTCCATTCATATTACCTTGTAACTAGTAATCTGTTTTCTAAATCATTTTGATTCTGTATTCCACTTAATTTCTTATTTTTGGCTATAGAAAATGTTGTACAGTAGATTAAGGAAGTATCAGACATGTTTACCTGCTGAGATGCAAATTCTCTCATTCATCAATGGGATGACAAGAAAAGTGTTCATGATATCAACAAACTAATTAATGTATCTGTATTAATATTGACCTTAGTTGACTTTTCAGAGTATAAAATTGTAATTTCCTACATTCAAAAGGAAGTTTCTAAATCAAACACCTGTCTTGCAGAAAATTGTATTTTTTCACTCTTGGAGATGATTATTTAAATTTTGTCTGCCTAAGACAACTTGCAACAGAACATCAAAAATGTTCAGTTTAGAAAAGTGAAACTCCATCTGGTCACTGACAAACAGTAGTTCAAATTCCAAAAGAAGAATTCACAGATAATTTACATTTTTCCAATAAGAGTTGTTTTACAATCCGGAGCTAAAAATTCAAAGACTGTCTATGCATTATCATTTCTCATGATCTTCATAAAATGTGATGCTTCTTCACCACATTGTAAAAGATCTGGTTCTTAATTTACAGTCACATAATTTGTTATCCATCTGTAATGTCTGGATTACACTGCCTGCTACTTCACTTATTCTATTTTCACACTGATGATGATGTAGTCTTTTACTCTCCAGATCTACATGACTTTTAGGAAGAACTCCATGTCAGTCTTTCAGTATGGAATAAAGAGATATTGTATTAAGACAAATGCTGATGTAATTGGCAAAATTGATTAGGATGCTTCTTACTCCTCACAAAGTATATTATATTGGAAATGTCAGCAAACCAGTTTTATGAACTTGGAATTTCCTGTGGTGATAAATAACCTTGTCAGAAGAAAACAAAGCTAGTGCAGGATAAGTACGGTTTTCCTTTACATAACCACAATGACAAAATGAGTTATATCAACATAGCAAATTGTATGTTAATTTATCACACTACTTAATTTGAAATAATTTTCCTGTTGGATACTGGTTGTGCTAAACCCAAGAAGAAATATAATCAGTGGTAGCAATGAATCAGAGGATATTTAAAATAAGAGAAGCATCCCTTTTCTTTAAAATGAAATTGATTAGGCTTTATCGATAATATTATAGTTTTTTTCATTGCCAAATTAGTTTTGTTCTGACATTTGCATACAGTTCCCTCCCTTCCCACTGCCATATTCTGACTTGTGAATGTCTGTTGGTGAAGATGGTTGCCCACTGTTCTGTATAAAGGTTGTAATTCATGTGCCACAGCTGCCTTAGACAGTGCAGAGTTCTAAGGCACGATTCTGCTTGTGCCAGCCACTTCCCCCTAGTCTGCTGGGCTGATTACCTTATGGCTTAACAGCCTTTGGAACATGGAAGAATTAAGACCATCTATTGAGGACACCACTGTAATGGTTATGTATAAGTCAAAAAAGCTGTATTTTTTTTCCCTTTAAAAGCAGGAAAACTTCTTCAGTTGCAATCCATGCTGGAACTGCTGAGATGCCTAGAGCATATCTTGCTTTTGGTAGATAAGTCCTTGCATGGCAGTGGTGGTATTTCTTTGCAGTTCCATCAAACAAGTCTGCTTTTCTCAAACTGTGGGTAAGCAAAGGGCATAACTTCCTAGCTGTTACTATTTAGTAGCCACCCTTGTAGAGAATGTAAAAAAAACTAAAATAAAAAAGGTTGTGCCATCTGTTCTGAGCCTAGGCTCTCAGAGAAAGAATGGAATTTTTCCATCTCTAATCTTTGATGTGCACCATTAATTTTTATGATACAAGTAAGTCCTGTAGACTATAACCTATCAAACATCTCTTTGATCTTGTCTCATAACTCACTGTGGAACAGAAATGTCTCTTTATTTCCCATGATATTCACTCTCTCCCAAAAATCTGGATGAACATATCTGAGATTCCCAAAGCAAAAACTCTTGAGGTTCTACAGAGCCTTCAGTTTCCCACCCCCATAAAACAATATAAAGAAAAACCAACTTTGCATTGTCCCTTCATGCAATTTTTTGTATTGAACTTCTCAGTCACAATGGCCTTCTCAGAGTCTTTATTTTATTTAGAGTTGCTCTGAGAACCTGTCATCAAGGTCAGTCCAGTGAGCTTCCAGGCTTTTAAGGCAAGGCCTGCCACAAGCCCTTTTCACTTTCAACCTTTACCCTCTTTATTTAAAGATACAATGTTTACAGAGAGCTGAACTCCACTGGGCCTTCCAATATTGCCCACCAACAAACACCCCTAATACCTGTATTGCCTAGAAGAGGTCTCTTGTCTTAAACATTGTGTCAGCAATGTATTAGTGACAAAGGAGGATACAACGCAGAACTGATTTGTGGTTTTGTGTGCATATTCTCATTCTTTCTAATTATTGTCAGTATTTATTGACTCCCAAGTTTAGATGAAACTTCCTCTGAAGTTTTGTGGAGTTTTTCTTCCCTTTTCTTTTTTATCTTGGCTTTTTCTTTCAGTGAAAGTAAGTTGTACTGTTATGGTGTAGAATCAAGGTTTATCAAAGTGATGAAATGCTGTAATTATTCAGAACTGTGTAATCAGTCTTATCCTATTTAGAAAAAGGTTATTGCAGAACTGACCAGGTACTCGTTGCTTTCTTATCAGAAACTAAAAAATAGATCTGTTGTTTGAGTTTTGAATAATGGAAATATCTGTACTGACAATATTGAGCCATTGATTCTATTTGGTACTTCAGTATCTTTAAATTCCCCAGGTCTCCTTTTCTCAATTTTACTTCCATAGGTTGAATTCAGGCTGAGACTTAACTCATATGGAGCTCAACAAAATTATTTCTAAAATATTTTTATTTATTTACTTTTTCCAAATGAAAATAAAAGGGATTTTTATTCACAGAAGGTATTATCTGAGGAAATACATTTTTGAAGTGAGCAAACATTGTGCAGCTTACAATTTTTCAAGATACTTTTCAAGCCATTTCCAATCAGCTTTAAAACGAGTTTAAATGGCTGTTAAATGGAATCACAATGAGAGAAGGTGTAATGCAAGTCTTATGTAATAAAAGACAATACAGAGGAGAAATCACTAATTTTGTTAGAATAAGAACTCTTCATTGCAGTTTCCTTCCTTCAGAGCTCCATTTATTTCTTCTTTTCTCCATGAAAATCAGTTTTTCTTATTCATTATGACTATTTATGTAAGAGCTCAGTGCTTTTCAGCATTGCTGAAAAATTCAGTTTAATGTATCTTCATCTTTACTAATGACATCAGAGAATTTTCAGTACCTGACTTGATGAGAGTTGGTTTCCATGAAAGAAAGCAAAAGAAGTCTGTAATTGTTTCAGTCTAATTAAATTTTCAGTACAAAAATTAGATGACAAAATTAATGCCTTTCTTGTCTGATTGTTGTGTCATCATAGTTCTGGTTATAAAGTGATGCCTACTCAGAGATGCTTAATAAAGTATTAGAACTTTGATTTCATAAGCTATAGATTGCATATCTCTATGAAAATACTAATTAGTTTATATTTTGACAGGGGTTAGTCTACTGTCAAATAAACGAATGTATTGGTTATTTTGTTGTTGTGGCTAGATTAGTAAGCAAATGATAGAGGCAGTAAGAGTTAATATATCCAAGAAAAAACAATTAGGCTTGTGCATCATCGTATTCAGTTGCCAGAGGACTAAACTATGCTTCAAAAATAATTATTGATCACAGAGGATGCTTGAGGCCTGGGTTCCATCCCCATTTCTCAGTTAATGGTTCTATTTAGGTTAGAATCATTAGTTCTCTCTGAACTGATTGTTGTTGTCAGTTGTACTAGTTAACTCATATATATGTGGAAGCTCCACAAATGTTTGTTCAGGATACAGAAGCTAAAGGTCCTGAGTCAAGTTTTAGGACTGCTTAAATACTCATATAGATATACATATATTTATATATATATATGTGTGTGTGTGTATACATATACATATAAGTAAATATATACGTGTGTATATATATATATGTATATATATATATATACACACGTATATATATCTGTGTATGTGTGTATATATGTGCATTAAATCAACGTAGTAGGTAATTATTTAGCTTACATTTAGAATATGTTCTAAAGCTCCAAAATTTAAAAAAAAAAATAAATCTGTGCAGGCAGATGTGAAATGCTGCTGTTGTGGTATGGCAGGATGCTGGTTGCTTTTGAAGTGCAAATGTCTAAGAAAGGTACAGGCAGACCAGTCCAAAGTTTTTGTTCAGTTGTTAAATATTGGCAATTTGGCTGTAGTGAGGTGTACACAATATAGAGCAAGTTAAATGCTCATCTCAAACATGGGTGCAGTCTGAGGAACACAGATATTCCTCCTAGCTACCTTGTCTGCCGTGGCTTGTAGTATTTACAGAGAAAACCTTCATTGGACTTCTGTTACCTGCTGAAAAAAACCCCTGCAGTCTTTTTGGCCCTTGTCAAGCTTTTATTTCAAAGCTTTGGATGAGTTAATGACAAAGTGTGGAATCTGGGTCTGTGTTTGAATGTTTACATGAAAAGGTTTAAAATCACTCTGCAACTTTCTTTAGATTAAGAAAGCCCAATTAAAAAGTGCAGCGTAGTATGAGGAAACTACAGGTATCTGTCATATGCCCATGTACTGACTGCCTGTGCAACCACATACCCATCTTATCATGCTGCATGTGTTTAATTACTCCAATATGTCCAGGTGGTGGAAGTAAAGAATGAGCTCCATATACTCATTATCCATTTTCACACAGCCAGTCATTAGATAAGTACTTCTTATACTGTTTCTTGCAGGCCTAATACAATAATAGTAAGTCAGTGTTCTAAAAAAATCATAATAGATTCCTTACATGAACGTAATGGAATTGAAGTTCCAATTACTAAATATTCGAATGAGTGGTAGCATCACCCTGCACAGGTGTACATATGCCATCTCATTGTCTCTTACTACTTTAGGCCCTGGGCTATCACAGAGGAGGAGAGCTGCACTATTGGTACAAGGAACTCTTATTCATCCTTTTTGTACTTATCATCATGGCACATCTATTCTCTTCGTGCAGCTGCTCAATTAAAACAAGTTTCTCATCATTTTCAGAATTGTCCTTTGACTCCTGGAATCTGCCAGATGCATATTAACCACTTCAGTTAATTATATTAAGTGGTCTGAAAAATTTACAAAATTAACATAGGATGGTCTTTAACACCAAATTCTTTGTGTCTAAAAAGTACCAGTTAAGTCCTGAAATACCAAGTTGCAAAAAGAGTAGTTTGGGGGAAAGAAAGACTGGTATGGAATTACGTGGTTGCATCTATGCATGTGTAGCAATGGAAATGTATTTGTTAAGCAAATTGAGTGACTGTTTGCAAAGATGTGTTTCTATACAGCCTATTTTTTGTTAAAAAATGGAATTTTGTTAAGGAATCTATCATTCATCTGAGTGCTAAAAGAGAACATAGGAAGTGAGGCTTTAGTAGTTTTTATGGCAAGAGCAACACAAAGATAAAATTCTTCCAGTCTGAGCTAGTTCTGTTTGGCCCCAATCTTTCCAGCTCTTCCTTTTTCCTACATGCTTTCCCCAACCTGCTTGTTACTCCTTTTCTTTTCCTCCCTACATAGCATCATATTGCTGTTGCTGGGGTGTTCCCTATAATTTTCCTCTGTATTATGATGTATTAAGGAATTATTAAATTTTTTTTTTTAATTTTTACCTCTATATCTTGTGTTGACTAAAATATCATCATCCCCTTTAATTCACATCAGATTCTAAAGATAACTACCACTAGGCTGTCAAATGCTAGTGAGCAACATTTGAATTTGGCTTTCTATGGATGTGTGAAATACTAGTCCTTTTGAACCTTATACTTCCATGATCTGATTACAGTCTGTTACCCTTAAGAGGAAAATAAGTAAGAAATTTATTGTTGACTTAGGAAGTAGGTCAGGTTTTACACTGGCTTACATAACTTAAGTTTAAATATAAATTTGAAGTATTTCTTTCTCACCGTGGTACACCAAATGTATGCTCAACTTGCTAGTTGTCCATTGTCTAAGGCATTAATTGTACATAAGTGTTCTTTCCTAAGTAAACTGCATCATCAAGAGTGAGCCTTGAAAGAATTCGTAACTTTTCAGTGTCCCTGTGTGAAGGTATTTCAGCTGTCCAGGGATCTGAACATCACACTGACCACATGGACTCATTTTGTGAAGTACAGCATTACTTCACAATTTGGACCCCCTGTCTATTAACCTTATCCAGTCTCTTGTAAAATGTTCTTTCATTTTTGCTTTTCTCAATTTCACTACTGTCTTTGGTTTTCTTTTTTAAGTGAGTGTTAATGTTCAGAGCCAGGCTAAATAGAAGTTTAGCTTTTAGTGAACTTTTCCACTTATTCTCTGTTAGTGGCTCCTCTTTCTTGACAGACAGTAATTTAAATCCACTTTACACTATGTTACCATCCCTTTCTCTGCAGCAATTATAATTGTATCTTGAAATTTTTGTGTATTAAATCCCTTTCCTTCTTTCTCATAGAGTGGTTCTAAACTACCTCAGACTTTGTTGTGAACAGGTAAAAGTTTCGGCTAGAGTTTTTAGCCTTTATCGTAATCTTTGAATGTTCTTTATGTATATGTGTATGTAGCAAAACCAGCCTGCCAGATCCTGACTGCATTTTCAGGAATACTGTCCCAAGCAAGACATGTAATTGGGATGAATTCACAGCCACACCGGCTGTTCAGGCTCTCGCTGATACCTCTATCAAGAAAAGCTTTTCAGGAGGGCAACTTCTGGTATGGAAAGTGCTTCGGCTTTCTCTTTGAAGGGACATGATGATGCCTGCACTAGATGACTTCCACCTCTCCATTATCATGACAAGCATTATAAAACTGCATCATCAGGCCTCCATCCCTGGCTCCAGGATACATGCTGTTGCACTGGACTGTGTTCATCATATGAGAACAAACCCCACATGATGGTGTGTTCTCATGACCTTGGTGTCATTTTATACTGCAGCAGATGTGCATTACCAACCCTTTGGGCTATAATTAGGTTTCAGGTAAAAATGGTGGTTGCAGATTGTGCTGCAATTGGTAACTTTGGGAATTGTCTGGTTTCATAAGTTATCCATTGAACAACCCGACAAACCTTTTTAGTGTTAATTTTCTTTTCACCAGCAGACATGTATATCATCAAACAAGCATTTTTTTGTAACATGGAATTTTTTATGAGCATCCAGAAAAAGAAGCATCCCAATTATTTTCTTAGTAGCAATGTGTGTATTTGTAATGAAAGTTTTAGAATTATTAAACTGCTGAAAGCTATTTTGTGCATGCTCTGGAATTGTGTGAACAATTTGTATTAATAGCTGATAAGCAGAGAGCTGTGGCAAACAAGGAAGGCTGGCTGTGGATTTTGCAGTTTCAAAGAGCAGCAGAGTGCCAGAATGGATGCAGGACCAGACTGCTCAAAGCAAATCATAAAGTGAAACTGTTGTGCTTTGTATTTATTTCTTTGGGGATTCTTCTTCAAAGTATTTAACTTGACAGGAAAATATAGAGTATATTTAAAATAGTAACAATTAGAAATACACCTTTTCAAGAATGAGAGAGGTGTGATTTGAAAAATAAAGTGATCTTTTGTGCTTAACTGCTTGTCTGTAGTTTTCTTAACATAATGTTAGAACCTGTCTGATCCTGCTTACATATTGCATGTGTGAATAGAAGACTTTGGGCAGACCTGTACTGATTTCTCATCACAGCAAGGAAGTTAATAACCTCATCATTGATATATTAACTCATAACGACACAGTCTTAATATCAGCATAGAAAATGGTGGTGATTTTCACTGTGACTTCGAGGTCACTGGGCATCCTCAAAGCTACTGCAAATGTTTGGACCAACAGATGCCGGGTGTTTCTACCAGGATGTGCTGCTACACTCTCTGGATGAAGTGTATGAATGGGTATTTCAATATATTTCACAAAAAAAGTGGACAAATGTTGCTATATATTAGGAACGGTGAGAAGCACAACACTGACTCCCTTAGCTGCATTGTCCAAGAGAGCAAAGTTTATTATTCTTGATCTTCTTTTATAGACAGGTTTGAGAAGGTCCAAGAGGTAAAACTCTTATTGGTCATCACACATCACCATCATTGGTTAAGTGGAGCACCACTCCTTGACTGTTTCCTAAACAACACCTACGAAGATTGTTGTCCTTTACCAAGGATTTGTTTGGATTCTTTCTCATGCTTTCCCAGGTCAGAGTGAGAAGCCTGTGTGTCTTAGTTTCACACAGGCACTGTTCCCTTCTTGCTTTTTGCATTTAGCATCCACATCTCCCCTCTTTTCTTTTAGGGCAGAAAGGCAGTGTTTTTAGTCTCCTGCCAGGCCCTTGCAGGAAAGAAAACAAACACAGCATCAGAGGTTCCTTTAGTAACTTCTTGATTACCAAATGGAACCTTAATTGGACACTGACTTAGAATGGTCAGGGAGAT